TGAGCATGGACCCCCAAGGAGCTGTTCCCCTTTTTCCTATTGCTCTCCTTGGCTCTTAGAACTGCTCCCGGCTCTTTTGGAAGGCCTGGGTCCCTGATGGCTTCTCTCATGCCTCTCTTTGCAGGCGACTACACGGACTTCTACTCCTCCAGGCAGCACGCTACGAACTTGGGCATCATGTTCAGGGGCAAGGAGAATGCCTTGATGCCAAACTGGTTAGTATCAGGAGCTACGGTGCGTTGAAGGTCTGCCTCCAAGTGTGCCCGCGGCATGACTGTTCTCTGGGGCTGAAGTAAATAGGGAGGGAACTCTGTAGTAGCCATACTGTTGCAACCTCTGGGAACACAGTGGAAGCCAGCCTAGGCTTCTGGTCTCAGCTTGGCTCTGATCTGCAGCTATTTCACCTATAGAAACACACACACCCCAAACCAAAGCCCCTGCCATTGAGTCTATGCTGATGCACAGGGCCCTGCAGAGGGTTCCTGAGGCTATACGTTGTTTATGTGAGCTTGCAGGTAGCTTCATCTTCCTGTCTTGGGAAGGCTGGTGGGTTGGAACTGCCAGCCTTGAGGTTAGCAGTCTGACCCTTAGCTGACAGGGCCACCAGGACTAAGATATAAATCTTGGAAGTATTCATCTCTCTGTGTCACTAAAGCCTTTCCCAAATTTTCCCATCTCTAAAGCTCATATTATTGTTTTGTTGGTGAGAGTACAATCCCCACATTTTCTGAACTTAGAATTTTCTGGTGAATGAGATCCTCATGTGTGTCCAGTGCTGCGTATTTCTCAAAATGTGGTTAGCGATGTTCATTGGTTAACTTCTTATAGTAGTTTTGGGAAGTCTCCAGGGCCGAAAGCCTTCGCCCCATTTTACAGAGACGAAAATAGGCTCTAAGGAGGGAAAGGCTTGCCTGGGGACAAACATGGCCGAGACAGGATCCTAACTCCAGATAAAGAACTTAGGGCTATGACCCTTGTTCCTCTGTCCCATGCTGCCCTCTGGCATGGCAGTTACTGAGAACTGCCGAGGTCCTGGACCCCGTGGCAAGCACACCCCCAGGACCAGGTGTTGTCTGCCATACGCAGGAGCTGGGGGTGGGAGTGCAGGACGGGGCGGGGATAGAGGCCTTTTCTGAGAGGAGACCAGTGTCTCGATGGGCAGTGCTTGGGGGTGGGCAGCTGCAGGAACAAACATGATGAAGGAAGAGAAGAGAAAAGAGAGTGAGTGAGAGACCGGGTTATGACCCAGAGAAATGAAGCAACAGGCCAAGGTTGCACAACCAGATAGGGGTGGATTTGGGGTAGAGCCCAGGGTCCTGGCTCCCTCCTGAGGTGAGCAAATGTTAGACACTCAGCCCCTGTGCTGTCTCTAGGCTGGCTGGCTGCTGCCTGTGGTGGGTGGTGCTGACTCAGTGAGTCTGCCCAGTGCGATAGGATACTGATCCCTGGACATCAGTATCAAGTAGCTAAAGGGCAGGGGCAGCCGAAAGTGAGACAGGAAGCCAGCAAATGGATTCACTTTCTGAAACCAGGTGGGAGAGGCTTAGCCATTCCCACCTCATTGCTTTCAGCAAAATAAGCCCCAAGAGGACTTTTCTAGTGACATTTAATGCAAGGCAAGGTGACCCTGGTGGACCTTTTTCACTTCGTATACATACTTGCATAATAAAGATAATGGGACCTTTTGTAATTAATCCAGACACAACAGGAAGTACATAAAGCAAAATAGTTAACATATGAAATAAACCTACCCCTGCTCCTCTGTGTCACTTTCGGGTACCTGTCCTTCAGAAATAAAGGCCCCGTGTGCCAGTGTTCAAGGACAAGAAAGGTCACTGGCAGTATTTCCAGCTGCTGTTGGGATGCTCATCGGTGGAGGAATGCATGCAGCTGACCAAAGACGTGGTCCAGTCACAGCAGCCATTGCTTTCTGGGTTAGATCAAGAGGGATGCGCATGGTTTCTTGTTAAGTGAGATGAACAACCAGCAGGGTCTTATTCAAAGTGTATTCTCATTTGCATAGCCAGAAGAAAAATTGACATATAGGAAGGGACTTCAAAATAATGAAAAAACTCCAAGGACTCCATGAAGCCTGGATACACACCCACATTACACGCGTACGCACTCACGCTCTCATATGTATATGTAGCGCTCTATATGAATGAGCTTCCAAAAATTGGTGGGCAAAGGCATCCCATGCCTAGCTAAAGACTAAGGATGAAGCCATGAGGCACCTCCTGGCATGGATGGACTTGGAGAACATTCTGCTGAGTGAAATTAGTCACAAAAGGGTAGATGTTATATGAGACCACTG